CATAATCCAGTGCAGGTCCGTGCTCACACTGCCACTATTTATTGACCTCTTTACTATAGTGTTCCCCTTCACTCATCTCCCCCCGTCTGCTAAATTAAAGTTTACGTAGGGCGGTGAGAGAAGAGGTCAAAGGAGCTGGGCCAGCACATGAAAGAGTGAGACACTGGCAGAAGAGAGAAGGGCTATGACATGCAAGTATAGAGATGGCTGCCCTAAGCAATTGGCTCCCCTGCAATAGTTACATTCTCTAGCAAGTTCAGAGGCAAACTGCAAGTCATTAAAAAATAATTTACAAAACCTCCCCAATAAGCATTTAAAATACTTGATTTTTCTTGACATTTACCTGCAAATTTTAAAGTCGGTTACAAGGTCTATTCATAGTGTGTATAGTGCAGTTTAGTAAGACATATCAGTCTCTTTATGCCAATGGAAGGGGAGTGTGAGTCAAGTGGGTGGCACCACACCCCTTGTAGAACTGAATAGAGCAAAAAATGGCTACAAAGGCACCATCAAAACCCCAGGCTCCTGTGTAGCCATTTTTTGCTCTATTCAGTTCAGTCTCTTTAATCATTGACTTATCTAGAAAGGTTTCATGTTCGTGAACAGAGTTCCAAGACATATCCTGTTGGTGAGGCTGGAGAATGGTTATGATGTAGAGCAGTCTTGCTGAATTTATACTACTTTTTCAAAGACTTAAGAAGCTATATAAAGTATGCCGTTTCCATTTAGTTTTGCAAAGCAAAGAAATGAAAGGGCAGAACTTGCCAAAAAAAAATACTCTGATGGCACATGTGGATTCCTTGACTCTAGTAGGACCTGACAAGATGTCCAGTGTTCTCCATAATATACAGCTTTCCAGTATTACCAGTGAAATGCATGACACCTGTAACTTACATGCACCCACTGTGAAGACCATTCTGTAATGCTGCTGTGTGCTGGGTCAGGAACATCTGGCCAAAAGAGACGTTTGATCCTGCAATGTAAATGATTTGAGCCTCGATTAAATGTTTAAGGGAGAGAGAAGAGAGAGGGAGAGAGAAGAGAGGGAGAGTAGAGAGAGGAGAGAGGGAGGGAGAGAGGGAGGGAGGGAGGGAGAGAAAAAATATGAGACAAAATCAGTGGCGTAACTAGAACCTTAAGGGCCCCGGTGCAAGAAACCATGAAGGGCCCCCCCAACCGCAATGGCACCGCATGTGCAGTGTTTGTAAATAACTGGGAAACCGTAGAAAGTATATCATGGCACACTCACAAGCCAGCATGTAAAAAAAACTTGTCTCACCACTAAGGTTAATAACAGAGGTTTGGATACACGTCTTCTGCAGAAAATGTGAAAGCCGCACAGCCGCGCCAAGGCACCTCTATATAGTACGGTCCTAACTCTAAACTATGAGAGTCTCCATCTTAGAGCACATGGGACCAGAAGATGGCACCGCAGCCATGCCCCCCGCCCACAGTGCGATCGCCCGCACCCGGAACGCAGGCACATTGGTTCCCGCATTACGGTCCAGTGCGATCGCTGGACTGGAACGAAGGCACTAATGTGCCTGGGTTCCTGGTGCAGGCGATTGCACTGTGGGCGAGGGACCTGCCTGCGGTGCCATTGACTTCAATGCACCGCCACGCCCCCCTCCGGCCCCTGAATGCAGGTGTTTTTTCGTTTGCAGATCTCATTGAGCTTGTCATTTGAAAAGTAGATCTCCAGACGAAAAATTGTGGGCGCCCCTGTTATACTGCAAAGATTTCAAAGCAGACTGGGGTTTCAGGATGTGCTGTTCACGCTCTTTCGAAGAAGTACAAACAAACCGGCAATGTTGAGAACCTTTAGGCGCAGTGGTCGGCCAAGTAACTTAATGCAGCAGATGAGAGATTGGAGACTTGGTCAGGATCCTCAATGTTGAGAAATACAAGCAGATACTTATCCATCATGCCATACCATCAGGGAGGCGTGTGATTGGCCCCAAATTTATTCTGCAGCAGGACAACGACCCCAAACATACAGCCAATGTCATTATGAACTATCTTCAAAGTAAAGAAGAACACAGAGTCCTGGAACTGATGGTTTGGCCCCCACAGAGCCCTGATCTCAACATCATGCAGTCTGTCTGGGATTACATGAAGAGACAGAAGGATTTGAGGCAGCCGACATCCACAGAAGATCTGTGCTTAATTCTCCAAGATGTTTGGAACAACCTACCTGCCGAGTTCCTTCAAAAACCGTGTGCAAGTGTACCAAGAAGAATGGATGCTGTTTTGAAGGCAGAGGGTGATCACACCAAATATTGATTTGATTTGGATTTCTCTTCTGTTACTTAACATTTTGTTAATTGATCAAAATAAACTATTAATACTTTTATTCCTGAAAGCATTCTTTTTTTACGGTATGTTTTCACACCCGGCTAAAACGTTTGCACAGTATTGTATATCCCCTGGGCTTACCCAGCAATTCCACATAGTGACTGTGTTTTACTGTTTTTTACTTTGAGAGCAAGTCTGGTTATACTGACTGTAAACTATACAGACTAAATACCATTTTGGCATATTGTTTTTAGATCAACAGTAGCCATGAAGGCTTTGGTAAATGAATGAGCTGCCTTAACACAATGCATTGCAACACACTTGCACACCTGCTAATGCAGTGTGATCCTTGGCTTTGGGATGTCCCACAAATAAAATGTATGCTGTACAGTCTCGGAGTGTTATATTGTTACTTACATTTCTTTCTTGCACTTGTATGTTATTCCAAACACCATTACAAGCACCACAAGTACACCGATTGTACCAATTACATGGCCCAATTTATTACTGCCTTTAAAGAAAATAATGGAATAAATAATACAGATAAACACTGTTATATCCCTAACAATGGACTTCTCCTTTTTACTTTTGGTCTGTTAAATATACAATTGGAAGAATTGTGTTATATGTGTTTGATAAGTGCAAAAAAAACCCTGTTGATCGCCATATAAATTCAGAGCTGTCCCTTGTCCTCTGCACACTTTCTGTTTCATCCCATAGAAGCCCTCTTAGGTCTTATCTTGGACCACAGAATGATTAGTCTTTATGTTCTACAGATCTGAGAGTGGGAGTGCCCTTGGTACTTGGAGGGGACTGAAGTCCAGCCTACTCCCCACCAACTATGGACCCTGGCCTGGATCAATGTTTTAAATTGCCAGTGGGAATAGTATTGTATCTTGCCCCAGACCTAACAGCTCAACTCCTCCATGGAACTCACGTACAAGCTTATTTAGTGCTCTGCGCACCGGCTGGATTGCGGACCAGCGGGACTTATCTTACCAATCTTATGAAACTCTCAGATGGACACTTTATGTGCCATGTCACGCTGGTACCATTAGGTCTGAACTAATTTACACACACACACGGCTACCTGAGGAGCTAAGTACGAAGATGTACGTGTGTGTGTGTGTGTGTGTGTGTGTGTGTGTGTGTGTGTGTGTGTGTGTAAGTGTGTGTGTAAGTGTGTGTGTAAGTGTGTGTGTAAAACCTGCTGATGTGGTCATCTTTATCGTTACCCTTTTGTTCCCTTAACGTTGGTTTGGACTGATTTTCAGAAATGTTAATTTTAATAAAATAATGTAATCTTATCTGGGGGTGGTGGGCTCTGTGGGCTATAAAATGTGTGCTGTATGTTCAATAACATTGACTTCTTGCTTTAACCTAACATTGGTTCTGTCTGATGTTTAGGGTAATGCTTCTGCTATAACCAGCTCTGACAGCGTATCCAGTCGGGCACAGGCATTGCCGTCACAGGAGTAGTTTAGCAAAAGACACTGGGCCGGGCTGACACCACTCAGTCCACAAACACTCTGTGTATTGTCCACAAGACATATAAGCTAAATGCATTTCTGGCACAACAACAGGTAAAACATTTTGGTACCTGCAGGGTCTTTTTTTTGCCTTGACATACACTTTACAATTTCTAATGAAGTACCCCAAATCCAGCCATTTGCCAGCCTGGCCTTAAGAGTGGCTTAAAGTGTGTGTCAGGGCAATAATGAAAACATTTAGTACATCTCTGCAATACATGCTCCTTTAACCAGTTGACATCCGCGGTGTTAAACCCCCTTCCCATCCAGGCCATTTTTTCAGTAAGGACTGCACAATACCCGTTGATCTTCCAGAAATGCACTCAGATCCTAATTTCCTCTTGTGATATGACACCATATGCCTTTTTTGTGCACCGAATCTGCAAAACGTGGCATCAGCCCTGCCCAGTTGTCTGTTAAACTACTAATATCACACCCATTCTTTTAACCTCCACAGCATAGGGACTAAATATTCTGTAGTGCAAGAACTAGGAAGCCTCCTTGTGATAACACAGGAGGTGTACACAGGAATTTGTGACGCAATCAATAGGACTTCTTTTGGACTTATTGAACAGATATAACAAAATGCTATCATTGGTAAATTTAAAAGACCAAAGCGAGCAAATAACAGCAAAGTTCATTGTTAGGAATTACATACACTTTAGTTGTGTAAGCAGGTCGTAAATCTAACTTGTGTTTTGATACTGTAATGGCAGCTGCTTTTCTTGCAACCAACAAACTGCAAGTGACTGAGCGTAATATACAGTATAATGCTTTAAACATAGAACTATAAAAATACCTACCTGTCAAACGTTAATTCTCTAAAGGGTCATTCTCTTAACAACAGATATTTCACTTCTGAGTAGAAGGAACCAACAGCTTCCTTTACTTCTGCACCAGTAGATACCAGCTCCACTCAGCTGCAATGTTATATGTGCTCTTGTAGCTGGATTCTCCTTTATTTACTTTCGAAGCAGGATAATAAGGACTACTCCTATTGGCTAATTGGCTACTGCAGGTGGATAGACCTGAGAGATTACATTTTTGACTTGCCCAAGAAAAATAAATGCATTGATTTACTAGTATGGTGCCAGCTTTGTGCAAGTCCTGGGTGTGCAGATGTTGGAAACACTGGATGTTAGCGAAGAGTCCAAAGCCCAAGATCTGTATTGGATCCTAGGCTTTCGATCCTACAAAAGAGCACCCTGTGACACAAGGTCACTGTATTGTGGTTATATGGGAAATTCCAGTAGTGTCTCTGGGATATCAGCGGTCTAGTGGTGATGGTACAGCATGCTCACCTACTGTATTTGCAGTTTGCCCATGTAGCGACAAATACGGCAATAATTACACCCAGCTTTTGCACTAAAAAAACCAACTGTCTATGGGAGGTCACTGAAATACAGGTTCTACTATGTAGAGGACACATGCAGTTGACATATCACATTGCAGAAAAATGTTATAGTAATAACTTACTGTGATTAGGTGTCGTGAAGTGAACACGGTGTCCACTTGTGTTCCCGGCTCGGGTGCTAGCTACCACATAAGCAGTGTACAGAGTTTTCGGCTTCAGGGGTTGTAAAGTGTATTTATAGACATCACTGCTCACTGTAATAACTAGAATCAATGAAATTAACACTATTACTGACAACTCTTTATCAGCGTGCATATGGATCCATTATATAACTTCCCCTTTCACATATTTTACCAGCCTGTGTGCCAGATGCTTGTGTTTGAGATTGATCACACCGAGTTGTATGTTGGCACTTTCCTAAATAATCCATCCCTACTTATGTGAATAACTTAGCAGACACTGGCCATTTTTTTGGGACACAGCACATACTGGAGAAAAATATGTAAGAAAAGCTGACCAATCAGATACTCAATGGACAGTCTCTTGTGAAAACTTGTGTATAGACTGAACAAGTAAAAGGAAAATCTGGCAGCAACTGAAGTCTATCACATCAGCTACAGTAGTTTCCCAGCATGCTGAAAATCTCTGCACCCAACTATTTGCACCATATTTGCCTGAGGAAAAAAAATATTTTCTTGGGAATGGATCAAAAAATAACTGGCATATATAAATTTCAAGACCAGTAGATACGTCCAGTAGTCACTGCAAGCAAGGGCAGGTCAAATTTAATCAGAGAGCTTCCTCTGCATGGCCTCTCTTTGATATGAAGCTTAACCTACTCCATGTATATCACTTTCTTGCCCTCCTAATGCTGACCCGGTTCTCACTTCCTAGCTTTTGCTTCTAATACAACAATGGGTTACCAATATACCCCTATGTAGCAAAGCTGATGCACTATCATAAAATTTAAAAAATATATATATATATACTGCATGTGTAATTAAAATAAAAAAATATTACCAAAATCATGCCAATATCTTTGCACAGTCAAAAATGTTTTTACCACAAAATAATATTTCCGTGTCAGTTACATAGACATAGTGACGAATCATGACTACATCTAACAAAGGTATATACAGGCAAACCTATACAGACATATAATATAAAAATGATTAATGATGTGCAAAGTGCAGTAACCTGTAGCAACTCGATTGGCTTGCGGTAGTTGGAGCAGTGAAAGTAGATTCTTTTTGGTTACCTTGGATCTTAAATGAGCCCAGTAATATTTCACTGGGCCCCTATCCTTCGAATACCTTCCAAAAGTGTTGTACAATGACAGTTTGTATCGATAAATGTTCTTACCGGTTTCATGTTCATTGAGAGAATAGTAAACAACACTAAATGAAGTTAAAAAGCCATTGGCGTCTTCTAATCTAATCGGATCCCATTTAATTGTTGCCTCTGTTTCTTCAAGGTTTACCACTGTGGTATTGGGACCGTGGAGTGGAGCTGGAAGTAATATAGGTTAAAAGCATTATCCAGTGGTACAAGAAGGTGGCAACTGCCCAAAAATGCATTTCTGATAAGAAACTCACAGTGGAAAAGCAGTTCTCATACAAGGTGGTATAAGACTCCTTTTCACTTACCATTATAATGATAAATATGCAGTTAATGGTTATGACAAATAATCAATAGCCAATTAGCTTAGAATACGTGAAGACATTTAAAGGAGAACTATGAGGCGAGTGCTTTTCACTCACCTCATAGTTCTAGCCGACCTGTGACAATGAGACTGTCACAGGTCGGCTCAGTAGATCGGGAGGTGAGCGAACACATACCGGCGTTCGTTCACCTCTCGATCCTGTCACGGCTCTCTGCCGTGACAGGGGAGTGGCTGGATTCCCCCCTCCCCGCTCTGATCCGCCACCGCTGACTGTCAGAACGGACGGGGGAGGGGGCGGGTACAGTTGAAACTTTAGGCAAAATCAAAAATGACATACAGTATATGCCAAAGTCTGTCACCATTAACACAGCAGTTTTGTCACCCTGTGGCCATGGTAGTCTTAGATGGACCTGTACTTTTAGATGGACTTTAAAGAGACAATAAACAAAACAAGTTAGGCGGTGTTTTAGGGCTGGTGCAGACTTCAGCGATCGTGTGAGGGAGTACAACATGTGTTCCAAGATGGAGACTCTCATAATTTAGAGTTAGGACTGCACTATATAGAGGTGCCTTGGCGCGGCTGTGCGGCTTTCACATTTTCTGCAGAAGACGTGTATCTAAACCTCTGATTTTAACCTTAGCGGTGAGACAAGTTGTTTTTGCATGCTGGCTGGTGAGTGTGCTGGGAAACTTTTTGCTGTTGTGTACACAGTAGTTACCGCGTGGCCCCAATGATTTCAATAGGTTACATCCACGCGGCAATCGCAAAAAAAAGGTAAATGTATATTTTTTGGCGACACGGTCATGCGCGATTGCACCAGTGGTATGGCGGCCCGGAAACCTGCGCAATTCGCCTGGGGCGACTGAGGTGCCATTAGAAAATAATGTTACTGCCAGCGCGATCAGGGGTGGTGTGCAATTCCGTGACCGCGCAGTTTCGTGCACGATTGCCGCATGGTCACGGATCGCCCAGGTCTGAACCTGGCCTTATGGTTTGTCACCACTCTCAGAATACAAGAATGGTGGCTGAATCTTAGGTCTGGCTCCAACGTCCACTTTTGTCGAACAGAGGGGTGCAACCAGAGCCACACACTGCCTGAAATTCAAGCAGTATATGGCCAGCTTTACAAAATACATAGAAAGTTCTTACAATAAAATTTATCATCATCACGATCAGTCTTCAGCAGAGAATAGTTGATAGCTGTTCCCTTGCAGACTCAAGAAATTTCCTTGCAAGCAAAGGAACAACCTACAAAGTGTCTTGGGGCTGAAACAACATTGATGGGAGACCTATTGGGTGATCTACCAGATATCCAGGCATTACAGTTTAAAGCAGGTTTGACCTTTTCTATTATAAGGACGCAACTGCTCCGGTGAATTACCGCTTTGAGGGGAGCACAGAAAGGAAATCATGGCCACTATAGTAATGGATTGACACTTTGTACACAGATACATTGCTTCTTGAAGTTGGCAAGGGTTACAGATAATACTGAAATTTTCATTGATTATTTTGGACACTTCTAATATATTATTACATTTCTTTTGGTTGTTAAGGGCAATGGCGTATTATGTTTCATGATTTCTATTATTATTGGGTTTTTCCCTGTCAGGTTATGCATTTATTAGTATGTTTGATATAACTGCACATTTATGCTATTGTTTCACATTTAGTATATTGCACTTAGGGACTGATTTATATAATGCGTTCGCACAGAATACAGCTGGGCATACTGCACTTGCATTGCACTATTGCCACTAGATGGAGCCAGGGAGCATATGAGCATGTAATGGCATTGATTCGCTCTGATCATCACTCCTCTAGCAATACACTGCGCAACTGTGACTGTGCTGTAAATCAGCCCTATATAGTTAGTGTGGGTGGTTTGGTTGATGCTGTTCCAAGTAAATACAATTCTAAGATCCTAAATATTGTGACCTGACACAGCAGCTTGATTAGTTTACACTATATATATACATAAAGCAGGGTCTTTCAGATAGATATAAAAAAAATGCAATACCTGCTTCCTCGACATAGAAATAGGTAGTAATAGGTGCTTCCACCCTTCCTTCAAGTATGGGGTAGACTGAAATTCTATAACGTGTGTACGGCTCAAAGATCCCTGAGGAAGGAAATACAAACACAATGACCTACAATGCCCAACAAACATGTTTAACTGTTAAATAGCCCTTCAGTTTCCTACAAGCTGGATCCTATGAAATTGCTTTCAACAGAGTTTACAAGCAAAAGTTAAATGATGTCTCATAATAATGCCAGTGTAGCATTATTAGGGATCCTGAGCTGTAATTGAAAAATACAAAAAAATCTCCAAAGATAAGAAACTGGGTGGGTGAGCCAACTACAAAAAAACAAAAATCAGTTTTGTTTGGCCTGACCATGTGCATAAACAATATATGTGAAATGAGCACCTTGAACCTGTGGGTCAGTTCACTGAAATACAAAAATGTACCACCACACACTTACACTAGTAAGCATGCTGGGAAATGATTGGGGTTTGTACTGTGGAAAGCCCTATAACAAATAAACTGTCATACCAAACCCACCCATGACCATCAAAAGTGGATGTGGATGGGCAATGCTGAGGTTTACCCCTCTGCAACTCTATCTCAGTCTAAAGGTGCCCATACACTTTACAACCCTCGCAAGACAAAAGTCTTGCGAGGGTTGTAAAGTAATTAAAATAACGTATGATCTGCCCATCTTGGATAGGCAGATCGTACTTGCGATCATCGCAAGCCCTGAGGGGCAGGCTTCCAATGACTGCAATGCTGAACGGGCAGTGTGCGCGTGCGCACACCGGCCAGTTCGGCTGTTATCTCTCGATCATGTTAAAAACCAGCTGAAAATCGTACGATTCTCGGCTGGTTTTCCAACAAGCTCGAAATACAAAAGTCGTGCGACCGTACATTAGAAATGGTCGCACGCCTTCCATACACTGCACGATTATCGTACGATCGCGGGATTTCCTGCGATTCTCGTACCAGAATTGTGCAGTGTATGGGCACCTTTAGTCTACTCCTTAAAGCAAAAGTAAAGTGTTTAACCCCTTCGTGTCCACCGACATATATAGTGCGTCATTGGCAGCATGGCCCTGTAAACGGACTGACTGTTTACCTTTGTAAAGCCGGCTGCCAGCTTTACAAAAGAAGTGATTCTGGCGGCTCAGTTGCTGAGAATCTATAGGTGCATGGCCAGCTTTACACAGTCTCTTAAAAAACCTGTAAGCAATTTTTTCAAAGAAGACTTTACTTCCACAGTCATGTCAAACTGAAATAAAACACTGAGCCAAACCAATTGGGATAAATCTTGAAAGGGGCTGCATCATATTTATTGAGGGTCGTAACAATACCCTAACAATGAACCTCTCTTCTTTGCTCCCTTTTGTCATTAATATATTTTGGTAAATCTATTTGATAAGTGCAAAAAATACCTGTTAATTCTGCCAGAAAACGGAGCTGATAACCTGCTGTGCTGACTGTTATCAGTAACAGCGTTCCCAGCTATCTCTCCGAATTAAATATCACCTCCCCTATGTTGTGGCTTCTGTGCCTCTGGTAGATTTCCCTAACGTCAGAGGTAAGCAGTGATCAGGTAATGACTGTAGCCAAGAGGGAACAAAAATCACCACTCCAATTTCAGAGCATTTCCTATGCTTAGGAGTCCAGCAACTGCAGACTATGAACCAGTCCACACTCCTGTGTCTCAGAATGACAAAGTATACAAGCCGTCACCCACTGAAGCATTATGATCACTCGCTGGGTGTGGCAGCTGTCGCACATCCCATTTGTGGCCCACACAACACAAGTTTTATTTGCATGCCTTAGGAGGTTGATCCTTCCTTTTCTTGTAATGCAAACTTTACCCAGATTTGCTCTGGGCCTTTAAAAGAGAACTATGGGGTAAGTGTTTTTCCCATATTTCTCTTAAGGATCACAGGAGGTCATGTACTAACCTCCTCCCGTGACCCACAGCTCAGTATACCGCGAGCTACAGCTCGCGGTATACTGAGAGCGCCACAGCCAGGACGGATCCCGACAATGCTGTCGAGCTCCACCCAGCTGCGTGAGTGACAGCTGGCTCTGCCTATCTAGAGGCAGAGCCAGCTGTACCAACCCCTTCCTCCAGTCAGAGCTGGAGGATCGGAGCGGGGAGGGGTGGAATCCCTGCGGGGAGGGGTGACTGACAGTCACTGCTCTCTGCAGGGAGATGAGCGAGCGACGGTATGTGTTCACTCACTTCCTGATCTATTGAGACGACGTGTGACAGTTTAATTGTCACACGTCAGCTCAAACTATGAGGATGAATGATTTTTCACTCACCTCATAGTTCTCCTTTAATTCCACTTTTCATACACAAAATGTGTGCCAAACAATTACCTTTGTCTCCAGACCATTCAGATGAATTCTCCACTTGTTGAAAGGATATATTACTACATGGGTTCAGTATGCACCATTCTACCACAAACGTCTTGGACCTCACATCTGTAACATTCCAGATCACGTTCACAGTTTCATTCATCATAAACACCATAGCACTGTACATCAGGCTTTGAGCTGAAATAGAAAATGCATAAGATGAATTCAGACCTGTGTTCTAAGTATTTACAACTGAAAACTCAAAATACAGAAAAGACACTAAAATATAATTGCCTGATTAAATGCAAAGGGCAGTAACCCACAGCAAACTCTCCTTTAGTGAGACGGGTGAAAGATGTGAATTACCTTACCATTTCAAGAGAACATCCCCAGTCTGGCCCACATCCCCAGTACACCATAGAGTAAACACAACTCCATATTCACCTATAGCAGAAAAGGAGCTACCTCCAAATCTTTTAGGAAGATTGTGATTTATAGTAGTGGTGGCTCTAGCCCAGAAGCTAATTTAACATAATAACGTGCAGTAACATGTTTGTCTGTGAAGGTTCTCATTCATCCGGGTCATGGTATATCTGTACAAAATAAATCAAGGCAACTGGACTTGCTTTATTTTTCTTGAAGACGTTTCGCTGGTCATCCAGCCATCTTTTTCAGTTCAACAGATTATGTAGATTGCAGGAACATTCACCATATTTATTCCCAGACAATGTTTGTACACGTCATTCTGAATTGAGAAAGCTAGTCCGATTACCAGCAAAATGTCTTAAAGAAAAATACAGCAAGTCCAGTTGCCTTGATTTTTGTTTTTGTTTTACAGAAGTAGCATGTTTGATTGGTTGCAGGAGAGCTAGGATTATCCCTGTGGAGAGTGTGATTGGTAGGCGATGTTTTACTTCAAAGCCTGGATTTATATCACATAAGAGCAAACAGCAAAAATATCAGTATCAAAACTAGTGTGAATCGAATTAAGGGTCTGTTTGGGTATTTTAGGGGGGGGGGGGCACTTTTTTTTTCCGTTTTTTTGGGGGTTGGAGTCCCCCTTAAATTTCCTACCAGACTTAAAGGGTCTTGTTTGACTTTTGGGGGGAACCTCACACACTTTTTTTATTCTGTTTTTTTACACCTTGCAGGGCATTCGGCCTGCTTTAGCAGACCATTCTCCCAGCTTTGGCTGTGTCTTCAGTTGTGCCGAGCTTTCATGTAGGTTGATGCTCAAGCATAAATGTATCTTTACTTACTACTGCATATAACAGAAAGAAAAAAAGCCATGACAAAGGTCCTGTGCAACTGCACACATGAATTAATGGCTGGATGGAAGACCACTGGGAACCCAGTGAAGAATAGTGAACCTTCACCATTTTACACACCACAATTAATGTGTATATACAGGCAGTGCGTTGGATACTTACTCTTTTCATTACTAGCAGGGATTTTCAGTGTAGCACTTGGAGATGATCCAGCAGTATTGTAATATATTACAGACAGGATGTAGGCTTTGTTAGGTAAGCTCAGCACCATTTCATTCTCTCTTGTTGTTTTATTCTGGAGAGCAAATATCTCATCCTCAGGATGCCATTGTACAACAAAGCCCTGTGTTATTCCGGATGGTTTTATATGGGATTTTTCCTGTGGAAAAATAATAATCATAGAGTATAATTACAGTAAACGGTATGATATAAAATGTTAAATGCCTGTTTTTCTAAAGCTTCGATATGTCAATAAGGTGCCATTCATTTGATGTACAAATATAGCCATACTATAACTAATGTTACACATACAGTAGGTATTAGTGCTTGAACTGATTGATTTAACACTACAGAACATGTCCTATGTAATGGAGATGAGGAAAGGGGTAGATGTCCTGTAGTCCAGCAGGGGAGACCTCGGACAAGCCTGAAGGTATGTACTAAATGTTTTTGGGTTTTGTTTTGTTTTGTTTTTAATTTTGCCAATTTAAAAATAATCTTAGGGACATATTTAAGCAGTCAATGTGATGTTCACCAAACATTCACTGCTGGAGAATAAATTGCTGTCATTTAAAACACATGCACCTGAAAGATTTGAAAGATTAACCTGCAGTGAATGTTTGGCAAATGTTAGATTCACTGCTTTACACATATATATATATATATATATCACACACATGTCCCTTATTGTGTATTAATGTATCAAAGGGAAAATATTGTGCATATTTTGCATTTTATTGTAGTGTTTACCTTACAGTATTTATTTATTTTTTTATATGACATTTACATTTTTAGAAACTGACTCACTATGAGAGGTATCAGTAAAACACTGTGTAGAACAAACCAGGAAGTAGAGGCTGATTATGTAACAAGTATATATGGCAGCCAGAATGTACATGCATCATTTACTAACTATACAGAGAAACAAGATTTTTTAAAGTAGAACTATGGGGTTAGGGCTTTTCCCCATAGTTCTCCTTAGGGTAACGGGAGGACTCAAACTAGCGTCACCCAAAGCTCAGTATACCGCGAGCTACAGCGGTATACTGAGACGCCACAGCCGGAACGGATCCTGACAATGCTGTCTGGATCCACCCAGCTGCATGAGTGGCAGCTGGCTCTGCCTATCTAGACGCAGAGCCAGCTGTACTCACCTCCTCCCCCGTCCGTTCCGCCAGTCAGCGCTGGAGGATCGGACAGGGGGGGGGAATTCCTGCAGGGAGCCGTGAGTGACAATCACGGCTCTCTGCACGGATAGATCAAGAAGTGAGCGAGCGCCGGTATGTGTTCGCTCACTTCCCGATCTACTAAGCCGACCTGTGACAGTCTCATTGTCACAGGTCGGCTCAGATTATGAGGCTGAGTGAAAATCACTCGCCTCATAATTCTCCTCTAAGTCAGTCAGTGGGAAAGGATTACAACAAGCTTGGCACTCCAGCTGTTGTGAAACTGCAAGTCTCATAAATGAGACATTGTAAGACACTCTGACAGTCACAGGCATGACTCCCAGAGGCAAAGGGCATGATGGGATTTAAAGTTTTAGCACAGCTGGAGTACCAAGATTGCCTACCCCTGGATTAGAACCTCTGGTGACTTTTCACTGCTGTTTGGAACTTTGTTAGAGAGATGCCGCTCACTTCCTGCACTGGTGATAACGGTTTTACCAGAATGAAAGCGAGGGGAACATCTGCAACTTGGACACATAATGCAAAAAAAAAAACCCAGTCAAGAAGGGGAAAGCTAGGTCACATGTAAGCATTTTTGTTACAGTACCTCTAAAATCCATGTACAGCCAGTGGCATAGAATGTCTTGTCTACCTGCATCCTGTTGTGCACGCGTGCTAGCTTGTGGCCTTTTGGCTATAGCCAGTTTCATGCGAAAGTGCATGTGTAATGCTGGGCATTAGGGCTGCAACCAACTAATCGATTAATCGGTGTGGCTGTTTCATCAGCTGTCTCATCCAATCCCCACTACTCCCAGGACACAGTCTCTTCAACTTTCTCCTCCGTTGGGAGCCAGCTGCATGCTGCGGTCTACGTCTCCTATAATCATCCACTGCTTTCCCCACCTCTATTGGCACAGGCAGCAGAGATCGGAGGGACACAGGGACACAGAGCCAGTCCACCAGCCACCACCCAGCAGAGAGGAGAAAGCTGTCAGGAGACCCGAGTGGGGAGGAGAGCTTTAGGACGACCAGCAAGTATATGAAATATCTGCCGATCGTCCCCTGCCGATCGTCATTGCAATGATCGGTACTGATCACTACAATGTTTGTGAATAATTGGGGACATAGTATTCAGATACTGTGTCCCTAGTTATGAACAGGAAATGCTCTACATCATTTCCTGTTCATTCACGATTGTGGACATGGTATCTGTTTTTACTATCTCCTCGATTTATGAATGAACAGGAAAGCCTCTGTACTGAGAGCTTCCTGTTCAGTGCTAGGAATGAAGTAAAAGAGATTGAGGACTCAATCTTTTTTATTTCAAGAGGTAAATATCAGGGTTCTGTTTAGACCCCTGATATTTCCCCAAAGCCCCCAATAGTAAAGTAAAAAAATAAATAAAATAAAAAAAATTATTTATAAATAGTAGAAAAGTTAAAGAACCCCCCTCCCCCCCAACAATTATCAAACAAAACAACTAAAAAGGTGTGAAAAAGTTATTTCCGGTTTCAGCCTGACAAATTCTGGTGCGGGAGTGTGATCACCGGCTTTGAAACGCATAAAACCGCAGTGCCGTGTGTTCCAGTGTGGTCTGATTGCAAAAAATGGTGTATGCAGTTTTATTCTGAAGTAAACTTTGTAACACTCCATTTGTGTATTTTGTTTTAAATTAAGAATGGGATTTCATTTTTTTTTATCCGATTATTCAATTAGTCGAAAAAAAATAATCGATTATTAAATTATCGTTAGTTGCAGCCCTACTGGGCATGCTCAAAGGCTTGAAGGGTATTTAAACACAGTCCTTTCTGGTGGCTGGTGTTATATTTGCTTACCACCTGCGCTGTGCATTAAATTGTTGTTGTTCCCAACTACTGTTGCTGACCTGGATTGCCTGACTCTGCTTATTTCTCCAGTTTATGTTGCTGACTCTGCACACTTCTCCAGCTTGTCTGAGACCTACTTTGACCTCAGCCTGTACACTGACTACTCTCTGCCTGCTTCAACCTCTGCCTGATCAACTTGCTGTCATATTTCATCCAGTCTCCTCTGCGTAGCCATCCTGCTTCTGAGACCCTTTGGACCATGGCCTAGTGTCCACTTGCAGTAAAGTAGGCCAGGGCCAATAGGGTCACTGGTTCAGCACTACTTGTGGGGTAATCTGGTGATAACCAAGTTCTCATTTGGACCCCACGCCTTAGGTGATCCAGGGGGAGCAATTTTAATTGCCATTGATGTCCCTGTTGCAGGTTTTCCCTCACTTCCTGTGTGGTGAAACCGTTGTCACTGGGACAGTAAATGATGGGTAATTTCTCTAATTGACTCCTAGATGGCAGTAACCCAACGGAGGTTCTATTGTTTGCATACAAACTTTAAAAAGAAAATAATATCAGTAACAATCTGTTTTATAGACATACCTTCCACATCAAATGTACCAGTCTTGTGTTGTTCAAAAGAGTAATCACTCTCCAAAGTTCAACACTGTGAGAAGGTGCTGAGTAAAAGAAAACAAAAAAAAATGTATTTCTGAGAAGACGCATGGGACTGAAATTTTACATACAGCATACAGTATTCACTGTGCTTTACATGTCAGTATCGGCAATTCAACACACAATTTCAGGTTATATTTCAAAACATTTTGCCCTAAAAGACCGGGAAGACTGGGTAGAGTGGGAACAACATTTATAAGACCAAAGGATCCATGCTGATAAATAAGAGCATCCTGTATAGAATTAACTATGCCCCCCAGGTTTCTGAGATGAGAAAGAGGGACAATGTATTTAGGCAATGGACACACCCCTGCCACGCCCCAAGTTATGGGGACCCTTATGAATTTATATCCCAAAAATGAATGGTAAAACCCAGAACTGATTTTTTTTTCACTGTTACTTTTCTTTCATACTGGACTTCCAAATACAAACATGATAATTAAGAGATTAGATAAATGTTTAAGTGCAGAATAACACTTTTGGTAGTTAATGAGTACATTTTCATAGATATCCATACATCAGTATAAAAAGAGGAACAACTAAGGAGGGAAAAAGGGACAGAGAGATTTGGTGTGCTCTGAAGGACAGTTGGGTGGTATGAAAAAACGAATCTTCATAGACACTTTGGACTGATATATCTTTCTAAACTGCATTATACACACTATGAAGAGACCTTGCCACCAACCTAAATTACAGATAAAAGCACAAAAAAACTTCAAGTATTTCAAATGCTTTGTTGCAGTATTTCTGCTTTCCATAAACTGTATTTTATTCATTTGCATGAAAAGTTGACTACCCCACTAGAGTAATTCCCTAATAAAGCCCACTCTCTTCTTGCACGTCATAGCCCTCTCTTCCTCTGGGAGTATTTATTCACTCTGTGCTGACCAAGGTCCTCTGTCCCTTACTTAAGCTTTGTACAAAACCTTTCTTGTAGCTGTCAGGGGAGGAGTGAAGGTGTCACCTGAGTGAAGCTCTGAGTCTGCTGGGGCTGCTGACATAACATCCAAGATGGCAACACCCTGCAGAAGTCTTAGGGGGTTTGGATGACTACACAAGGTAGGCTTTGATAGGTAACAATACATGCAGAAAATAAGTTAAATGCATATATAATCTTATGGGAAGAGTTTTGCTGAAATGAATGGTCTGGAGACAGGGTATCTAACTCTTGAGATGCACATCCCCAACTGAGCAGAAACAATATTGATAGGTGTTGAATTCATATGATAATTCACTAATGTCATAGAAGGCTTTCACACTATACTCAATAAAAATCTTGATAAATTTACAGAAATTCTACAACTCCAATTCCAAAAATGTTGGGACGCTGTGTAATATCTACATAAAAACAGAATGCAATGATTTGCAAATCTCATAAACCCATATTTTATTCACCATAGAAAATAGAAAACATATCAAATAGTTCAACTGAGAACATTTAGAATTTTAAGAAAAAAAAAGGTCATTGTGAAATTGATGGCAACAACATGTCTCGAAAAATTTGAGGAATATTGTCCCATTTTTGCCTGATATAGGATTCTAACTGCTTAACAGTCCTGAATCTTCTACGTTGTATTTTCCATTTCAAGATGCACCAAATATTTTCAATTGTTGAAAGGTGTGGACTGCAGGTAGCCCAGTTAAGCACCCGGACTCTTCTACTACGAAGCCATGCTGTTGTCATAGATGCAGTATGTTGTTTAGCATTGTCCTGCTGAAATATACAAGGCCTTCCCTGAAAAAGACATCATCTGGATGGGAGCATATGCTGCTCTAAAATGCTCTAAAATCTGGTTATATCTTTCAGCATTGATGGTGCCTTTCCAGATATGCAAGCTTCCCATTCCATATGCACTAATGCAACCCCATACCATCAGTGATACACAGTGCAATACCAAACTAGTAAATTGCATTTACTTTAATGATGAATACAGCACTGATAATAAGGTTGTTATACCACATGGCCTAGTATAGTTTTAGACCACCCTTAACTATTGCCCACGTGCCCTGTGGTAACATACCTTGTTCTAATGTCCTTCTTGTAATGTCCTCGCTCCAATCACTCCAGAAAATTTGCCCATCATTTCCAATACATCTCATAGAAATTGTGTAGTCAGTAAATGCTTCAAGTCCTGTGACGTTATAAGTCATTTTCTCCTGATTTCCCATGTACAGATTATGATGATAGCTCTGTAATGTGAATGGCAGAATGTGAATGGCAGAATGTGAATGGCAGAATGTGAATGGCAGAAAGTGTTGTGTATATATGTATATATATATATATCTCTATATCTATATATATATATAGATATAGAGATATATATATATATATATATATGCT